CCCCGGCCCGCCCAGTCCCTCCCCGCCACCAGGGACCTGGATCAGAGCCGGCGGCCCCAGAGGGAAAAGGCTCCGGGTCCCATTTCCCGCCTCCGGAGACAGCCAGACCCCCGCCCTGAGGAGAGCTGGCACCCCCTAGAGGGGAAAGGCCCCATGTCCCATTCCCGACCCATGAGACAGCCAATCCCCTCCCGCCCCTGCCCCAATCAGAACTGGCGCCCCCTAGAGGGGAAAGGCCCCATGTCCTCCGCTCACCTCTAGGTTATGCTCGAAGTAGCTGAGCTGGCAGGGCTGGTAGGGGCTCGCTTCATAGTAGGCACCAGGCAGGCCTATAGAGCCTGGACCTTTCCTAGGAGGGGGCACATGAGGCTTTGTCACAGTGTGTAATCCCAGGTGCATAGTCCCCTATCACCCAACTGGGCACTTTTTTGGTGTTGGCAATTGTGATGGATAGGGGGAGTGCTGGCCAGCACCCGGTGACTAAGGGATTAAACTCAGGTCCCTAGCAAGGGGCTCAGATCCAATCGAGAGAGGGGGCTGAAATCTGAACTGGATACAGGTTCCCCGCCTGCTCTCTGTGTGTGGGAGAGTTAAACCAGGAGTTGAGAGACACAGAACGATTTAAACCCAGGCAGGACTACCGTGCCTCCGAGGAATTCGGGGCATGGAAGCGGACTGAACTGAAAGTAAGTAAAAGGGCTAAGTGAATCTAGTCGCGGTCGGGGTATTTTTTCTTTATTAGACAATCTTTCTTTTAAGCCGTCACCGGTCCTGTGTCTGTCACGGGATTTTCAACTTGTCCCTCCCGCGCACACGCCAATGTGGCCGCCCCCGCCAGCGCCTGCAGGCGCGCTCTGCCACCTCCAGCTCCACCTGGCTTTGCGCCGGCAGCTCCAGCTCCCGGCTCCCCCAGCAGGTCACCCATGTTCAGCTGGCTGCCCCCGACAGCTCCGCATCCCGGCCCCCTGGCAGGCCACTCCAACCAGCTCTAGTTAGCTAACAGTTTTTCTTAAACTGTGCTCCGCGGAGCCCCAGGGGCGCCGCAAGACATTTCCAGGGGCGCTGCGAGGTTGACAATCTGGAAATGTCGATAGGTACAACACAAATAATCAGTGGACCGCTGGGGCTCCGCATACATTTTTACGCAAGTTAAGAGCTCCGGAGCCCAAAAAGTTTGAGAACCACTGATAACAGTTAGCAACTACCTTGAATTGTACTTGGCCATCCACTCTTTCTCCTACATTGGTAGCTGAAACATTTATTTTGACTCTTTTGGTGCATTTTTAAAAAGATTGTCTTTTAAAAACTTTTTTTTTTACAGAGATTTGTGGTTTGGCTTGAACTGCTCTGAGCGAATAGGGCTGCCAGATGGTTTCAACAAAAATACTGGACACACTTGACATGACATCACAATCGACGTTCCGTCTTAGTTAGAAAATACCAGACACACTAGACATGACATCACAATCGACATTCCATCTCATTTAGACAATACCAGACACACTAGACATGACATCACAATCGACATTCCATCTTAGACAATACCAGGCACACTTGACATGACATCACAATCTACATTACATCATATTTAGAAAATACTGGACATTTCTATTTTCTCAATTTGTTTCCTGAACAGAAAGCTCAAATACTGGACTGTCCAGTTCAAAACCGGACACCTGGCAACCTTATGAGTGACTCTGTGCCTCTCCTTTACCATCTCGCATTGTGCCCAGAGACTTTTCTCTGTGTTTTAATTTGTTTTCCTTAGCTGCTCAGTAACATCTAGCAACCAAGTGTGCTTTATCCTGTTTAATCTTCTGTTTTGTAAGAAAAATCACTTTTTCTTTGAAGGTGACGATTGGATTCTTGTGTCCTGGATGGTCTGTGGGTGGGTATCTGCAGGCCTCTGACTGAGGGGTCCGCTACTAGAGACGGCAACTTGTTTTCCTCTTTTCTTTTTTTCACGCTCTTTTAGGGCAAACGAGCTTGGGGTATCCCAGGGGAGGGTTCAAGTGTTCACCCCTGTTTTTTTAGGGATAAAAATCACTTGATGGTGGCAGCAATTTACCAAAAAAATCTGTGATTCTGGGGAGAAGTTTTTGTAACCAATGTCTGTAGAGGCAAAGGGTTTTTTTTTTTCCTTTTGAGTTCTTTGCGGGCCCCCATCTTCTGCCCTTGGCGTGCCAGAGTGGCGAACAACCCTGGCAGATCCCAAGGCTGCCCCCAACCTAGCAGCGGGGTGGACTTCTAAAAGAGCCATACAGCACCCCCCCCACTGATGGGACCTGTCCCTCCAAAGAGAAACGGGGGACCCTTCACCCATCCACGGTCCTAGGACAATACTCCCCCACGATACTCCAGAGCAACCACATGCCGGCCAGATCCAACGCATCTGCAGGGGAATAGCAGCCTGGGGAACTCCTTGCCACAAGATGTTTGCCCAATGGGAACCAGGAGAGAAGGGGAAAAAAATCAGGAGGGCCCAGACCTGCAGGCGAGGTCCCGTCCCACCTTACCGGAGCCGGATTTGTAGACATCCTGTATGTCCAGCTCCTTCTCGCTCTCCGGGACGGGCTCCAGGATCCTCTCCTGAGCCACCTTCTTGCGCCGCTCCACATCCTCCCGGCTCTCGCGCTCAAAGTGCAGCCGGTACCTGGCAGCAGGGGGACGTTACAGAGCATCAGGCAGGCCGGGAAACCCCAGGGTGGGGGGGCAGAGATTTTGGGTGTCCTACTTTTCCTCCCCAAACAGGAGCTCCCAGCACTGTCAAGATCCCAATCCCGGGTCTCCCATCCACATCCAGGCCCAAGTGGGGCCTGTTTAGCTTCAGGCCCAACGGCCGGCACCTCCCCCAGGTGGTCTCATTGGCTAGGACTAATGCTAGCCAGGTGATGGGTCGGGAGTGGGGTGGGGGAACAGATCACAGGGCCTTTCCCCACTAGGGGGGTGCTGTCTCCCATCCAATCCCAGTGCAGACAGACTAGCTGGCTTCAGAGGGGCAGTCTGGGGGGGGCTGGCTCCTGATTTGATCACTCCCGTCTGGGTGTAATGAGTTGCGAGGTCTCCCCTTCCACTACAACCCCCACCCAGCAGCAAGGGGAGGGGGCAGAACTCTGAGCCAGTCCTGGAGTGGCAGGTTGGCCCAAATTCACCCCCCTGCAGCTATCAATGAGGGTAACGGGGGGCGGGGGGAGACAGGACTCCTGGGTTCTGTCCCAGCTCTGGGAGGGGCATGGGGTCTGGCTGGTTGCGGGGGCTGTGTTCTGCCCCTCTGATAAGGGAGTGGGATGTAGTGGTTAAAGTACAGGCGCTGGGAATCCGGACTCATGGGTTCCACACCTGATTCTGCCACACGCTCTGCGCGTGACCTGGCTCTGTGCCTCAGTTTCCCCCGCCCTTACCTGTTGGGGTCATAGCTGCGCTCGCCCAGCCTGCGGGCCGGTGGCTGCTGGTTGAGTTTCCGGACCTGCAGGGACAGGGATTCGCTGTCCGAGGTGTCCGTCTGGTCCTCCCGCCGCTCATGGCTGGCGCTCCCGCTGGTGGGGGGCATAGAGAGGGCCGGGTCAGGGACCTTTCCCCGTGCGGGGGCGCCGGCTCCCAGCCAGCCCATGGCAGCATAACACTAGGGCAGTTCAAGGCCCCAAGGTCAGACCCAGGGCTCTGCAATGCAGCCCGGCAGGGCCCGTGTTGCTGTGTCAGGGCCGCTCAGAGCTGGAGACGCCTGCAGCGTGTCATGTGTCTGCGGCAGCACAGTGGGGAGGGGGGGATCTGGTCCCCCTCCCACGAGGGCCTCAGTCCTCCTCAGACAACATTCCTCATGCAGTGGGTTGGGGAGGGGAGAGGCTGGGAGCCTGGACTTCTGAGTTCTATGCCCAGCTCTGCATGCATCTCTGAGAGGGAGTGGGGTGTAATGGTTAGAGTGGGGGGGGGGGTTTCTCTCCCCATCTCTGGGAGGGGAGTGGGGTGTAGTAGTCAGAGCAGGACAGGGAACTGGGAGCCAGGACTCCTGGGTTCTCGCCTCATCTCTGAGAAGGCAGTGGGGTGTAGTGGAGAGGGCGGGGCAGGGGGGCTGGGATCCAGGACTCCTGGTTTCCGTCTAGCGTTGCGGGCAAGGAACGGGAATAGTGGGTTACAGCAGAGGAAGTGGGAGCCCAGAGTCCTGTGAGGAGAGTAGGGTGCAGTGGTTAGAGCAGGAAGGGCTGGGAGCCAGAACTCCTGGGTCCTCCCCCTGTCTCTGAGAGGGGAGTGGGGTGCAGTGGTTAGAGCAGGAAGGGCTGGGAGCCAGAACTCCTGGGTCCTCCCCCTGTCTCTGAGAGGGGAGTGGGGTGCAGTGGTTAGAGCAGGAAGGGCTGGGAGCCAGGACTCTCTTGTCTCTGAGGAGAGTGGGGTGCAGTGGTTAGAGCAGGAAGGGCTGGGAGCCAGAACTCCTGGGTCCTCCCCCTGTCTCTGAGAGGGGAGTGGGGTGCAGTGGTTAGAGCAGGAAGGGCTGGGAGCCAGAACTCCTGGGTCCTCCCCCTGTCTCTGAGAGGGGAGTGGGGTGCAGTGGTTAGAGCAGGAAGGGCTGGGAGCCAGAACTCCTGGGTCCTCCCCCTGTCTCTGAGAGGGGAGTGGGGTGCAGTGGTTAGAGCAGGAAGGGCTGGGAGCCAGGACTCTCTTGTCTCTGAGGAGAGTGGGGTGCAGTGGTTAGAGCAGGAAGGGCTGGGAGCCAGAACTCCTGGGTCCTCCCCCTGTCTCTGAGGACTCGGCTACAGATTCTCCGTGCGACTTTGGGCAGGTGCTGGAGCTGAGCGCAGGATGGCGGCAGGCGGGAATTATTGAGACACCCCATGATGGCCTCAGCGCCGAGGGTCACCCAGGGGCTGAAGGGAGGCAGGGCGGAGAATAGGGTGGCCGGGGTGGGGCCCCTTCCAGCCTGTTTGGGAGGCCGTGCGGAGAGCTGAGGAATGCTGACAGGCAGCACGGCTCAGCATCAACCTTTACGCCTCCCTAGGCCAGGGCCCCCCCATCCACCCAGCCCTGGATCAGCCACCCCCCACCCCATGGCACAGAGGGGAGAGCGCCCCCGGGGCCACACTGGGATCAGCCTGACTGCCAGGGGAGGGTGCCCCCTACTGAACCCCAGCCCTTGGAGGGAGACACCTCATGCCAGGGTGAGCTCCGTGACAAGGCCCTGTCTGGGTTGATGCAGTTGGAGCTGGTCCTGCCTTGGGCAAGGGTGGGACTTGAGGACCTCGTGAGGTCTCTGCCAGCCCTGGGATTCTAGGAGAGCGTGCCCACGCCTTGGGGCTCCCAGCCGGCGGCTGGGCAGCAGGGCTTTCACCCGGCTGGATGTCCAAGCCTCACAAAAGCTTTCTGCCTGGCAAGTGCTGCCTGGGTTTACTGTCTAGGTGCCCATCGGCCAGTGGTGCATCTCCGTTTGGGGCGACGGGGCCTTTCCCCGGGGGTGGCGCCGGCTCCGATCCAGCCCCGCAGCCCTCCCTGAGGTTTCTGCCCAGAGATTTCCCTTGTCATTCAGTGCTTTGAGAGCAGGCACTGGGGCGCACGCTCGCTCTCCCCCCCCACACACACACAAGGAGCTGAGCCCGGGGTCAGGCTTATGGGGGCAGGAGGGAACATGCCCAAGTGGGAGTGGAAGGTGGGGGAGGGGGTTGGTGCCCAGATGTTAGCAGGAGAAGAGGCCCAGATGTTGGCAGGGAAGGTTGGTGCCCAGATGTTGGCAAAAGGAGGGGAAGAGAGGAGGAGCAGTGCCCAG